AAAAAAAAAAAGAATGAAAGTAGCTGATTTCAATAAAACTTTATTTATAAAGGCAGGCAGTGGGCCTGATTTGGTTTATGAGCTGTAGCTGGCCAGCTCCATGGGAGCTAAGACTGATAATAAGAACCCCCTGTGAAAGTCAGTCAGGACAGATGCCCAGATGTACTCAGAGCCCATGACAGAGAAAATATCAATGGGCACAGATCACCAGGCAGATACTCAGGTGGTGATGCACACTGAGCCTCTTCACATGTGGGAGAGTCTGTTTTCTGACCCAGAGGTAAGGAGCAGCAGGGATTCATTGCAAGATAATAAGTGAATAGATGATTCCTCTAAACCACATAAGGAAGCCAGATAGCATAATCACACATACAAAGTTAAGAAACACAAATGTTGATATAAATCCTGGAACCAACAGCTGACATAATAAGACAATGAGTATCGTTTTACCTAATAAGTAGTAAAATGAGGGACTCTGGTCTCAAGGGGTTTAGGGCACTATAACGTTCTGAGAACCCCAAGCAAAAAAGTGTGGCCATCTTAGAAATGTGGCCCCAAACCTTGCCAGCCCTCTGACTGTGGCTGATATCCTAGCAGCAGGAACACCAGCGGAGCATTCTGTCTACCTGCCCTCATTTCACAGCAACGACCATGGTCACCGCCCCTATTTCCACAGCTTGAATGACCTACCCACTTGCCCTGTCACCTCTGGATTCACTTGCTCACACAACAAAAGTGTGACTAAAAAGGAGAATCTGACCCAGCCTGTGTCCCATCAGTACCCCATCCTCCCTGTACCTGACAGAGACATAGTCTACCTAAGAAAGCAATTCCATCTTTGCACAGCAGCTCCGGAAGTTTGGGGTTTTCAGAAGCATGGCCCCAGCCAGCCCACACCGCCTGCAAACACAGAAAGGGGTGGACAAAGGTCTTTCTTCACCAACTCACCTTCCCTCATACAAAAGCTCTTTGCTGGGTTTATTAGCCCAGGAACTCAGCGTCTGGTGGGACCCACCCACCACCATCTTCTGAACCATGAAATAGAATTGTTCCAGAACTTGGGGGCATTATCCCAGCATGGGCACACTCAGGTGCCCTGACCTGTTTACCTGCACAGGGATTCTCTTGGCAATGTCCACGATCAGCTCTACATTGGCGTAGTTGTTGTTGTTGGGCCCTCCTGGGACAGGGACGTACTGATCCGCCATCTTGATGTACTCTGGAATGAATCAGGAGGGAAAGAGAAAGAACGACTGAGGCACTGAAGTCAACTGCAGAACCCGGCAAGAAGCCAGCACGCACAGCCATCGAAGGCATGACCCTGGAGAATACGGTGACAAGGGGCAAACATGCATGAGAATTGGAAGAAAATGCAGTATGAATTTGATTATGTGAAAATGAGTGTGCCTTCGGACAGAGGGAACAAAGGACGAAGGAAAGAATCCGTCAGGGTAGTGTGTAGCAGCCCGTATAGCCTATGGCTAGGAGGAGTGAGAGTTATAGGAAATACCTGTAATGGAACACCTTGGTGAAAAGGGCATGGAGAGAGATTTGGTTCTAACAAGCATGAGAGAGCTCGCGAGATGAGAGCAGTGGTGGATTGGTAGTCTCTACACCTGTGGTGTTGAGAGGCATGAGCTCAGCCGTATATTAGGCTGGAGGAGCAGGCAGTCAGAAAGCTTGAGCATTCTATCACAGACACGCTTACTCTGACTCTGTCTCCTCTTCTGCCTGCAGAACGCCAGCACGGTGTCTCTCTGCTGAAGATGACCAAGCTCTGCTAAAGACTAAGAGCTATCTGTTCTAAGAAGACTGCTTTACTCTCTCTAAGATACTCTGTCTCTCTCTCTCCAGCTAAAGTAGATAGCCCTCAAGCACCTAAGAGAAACTGTTCCTGAGCAAGGTAGCTTAGTGGTCCACGTCCGGAACCTACCTAAGCTCGGCCCATAGACCTGGCCAGTCCCGGGCCTGACAAGTGGTGTCAGAAGCAGATCCTGACAGTAGTGAGAGTGGAGAATTTTTAATTCCTATTTAAAGCTAATCTTAATATTGTACTATTAAACAATACAATAGGGTTTTATAAATTATGGTTAAAAACTCCACATAACATAAAATTTATCAACTTAAGCATTTTTTGAGTGTAGACTTCAAGACAGTAAGTATATTTACATCTCTGTGAAACAGATCACCAGAACCTTTCCATCTCATGAATCTGAAACTCTACATACATTGACAATAACTCCCCTTTCTCATCTGCCCTCCCTAAAGTCCCATGACTAGCAATGCCCTCTCTATGATACAATGTTTTGATTTTTATATTATTTATTATTTTTTTAGAGACAGAGTCCCACTTTGTTGCCCTCGGTAGAGTGCCAGGGCGTCACAGCTCACAGCAACCTCCAATTCCTGGGCTTAGGCAATTCTCTTGCCTCAGCCTTCCGAGTAGCTGGGACTACAGGCACCTGCCACAACACCAGGCTATTTTTTGTTGCAGTTTGGCCAGGGCTGGGTTCGAACCTGCCACCCTCGGTATGTGGGGCCGGCGCCCTACTCACTGAGCCACAGGCATAGCCCTAGTGTTTTGATTTTTAAATACTCAAATTCTTTAAGCCAGGAATTCTACTTCTAGGAATATGTCCAAACACACACACACACAAATCAAAAAACAAAAAAATAACGGCTGGGTGTGGTGGCTCATGTCTATAAACACTCTGGGAGGCCAAAGCCAACTGCTTGAATGCAGGAGTTTGAGAACAGCCTGAGACAGAGTGAGACCCCATCTCTAACTAGCTGTATGAAGTGGTTGGCACCTATAGTTCCAGCTACTTGGGAGGCTGAGGCAAGAGAATCACTTCAGCCCAAGAGTTGGAGGTTGCTGTGAGCTGTGACGCCACAGCACTCTACTGAGGGCAACAAAATGAGACTCTGTCTCATAAAAAAAACACACAAAACACCTCTCATCAATGAGGCCAAAGTACTAAGATGACCACTGAGCCATGTTTTGGACTGAAAAAATGGACTCCAATGATAAGGATCAGTACATCTACACTATGGAAATCGATAAGATCCTGAAATGAACAGTCTGGAGATTTGTGTACAAACATAAAAGAAGCATACACATGGAAAGAAGCCCAAGGGCAAAGTGTTCCTTCTCGCCTACACGCATGTTGGCCACTAGGGAGGCTCCAGAGATGATAAAATGAGCATTGGGACAAGCTCCCCAACTTCATCAACATTGAAGAAGACAAGCAAGAAAACAAACACAGTAACTACAGGCTGGGGCCAGTGCTCTGAGAGGAAGGCATGGGAGGATGTAAGGTCGGGTGGGGAGAGGGCCCGCCATGCAGGGGCCTCCCACCAGAGAAGTGCCATTCACAGACAGCCCAGCACGTGCAAGGCTTTGCAACAGGACAGTGAATGGGACTGGGGCCCAGATGATGGAGGGTCCGGTTGGTGGAGAGCCCGAAGCATGAGAAAAAGCCAGGAGGCCAGCAGGGGCCTAGTCATGGGGGCCTTACTGCTCTAGATGAGGATCTGGAATTTTAGTGTAAGTATGACGAAAGGTCCCACAGGATAATGGTCTGAACTCAGACAGACTCAGATTCCAATCCTATCTGCATTACACTGGCTGTGTGACCCTGGGGAAATGGCACATTTATGTCCCTGTTCCTTAATTGTTTCATCTATAAAATGGGTCTGTAACAAATGGGGCCATGTCAATACAAGATAGAGCTTGAGGCCAGAGAGCTCAGGGGACGGAGCTGACATTGTAAATACCAGGAAAAACACAGCAGCCTTCGATGCATTTTCAGGAGGGGCATGAAAAGTGATCATTATGTTTTTAAAAGATCACTTTGGGGGTGGTGCCCATGGCTCAAAGGAGTAGGGCACCAACCCCATATGCCAAAGGTAGTGGGTTCAAACCCAGCCCCAGCCAAAAAACCTGAAACAAAAATCACGTTAGCTGGCCTAGGGATAAGGGCCTTCAAAAGGATAACACTGTTCAGTTATTCATATAATGACCCATTTTGACAGACACGAACAGGTAAATGCGTAAAAAAAACAAACAAATGATTGAAATATGGTACATGCATCTGCAGGAAAAAACACCCGTGGAAACAGGCCCTGATCTGCTGGAACACAGACATTTCTCAAAGATGGGATTTCCACTGTGCACGTTAACCATTTGCATTTTTATTTATTTTTTATTTGCTTACTTTTTTTTTTGAGACAGAGTCTCAAGCTGTCATCCTGGGTAGAGTGCTATGGAGTCACAGCTCACAGCAACCTCAAACTCTTGGGCTCAAGCAATTCTCTTGCCTCAGCCTCCCAGCCTCAGTGTACGTGGCTGGCGCCCTACCCACTGAGCTACGGGCGCCGCCCCATTTGCATTTTTATAAGGCATGTTGGCTGTTCTTATTATCAGCAGATATTTTAATTAAATTAAGAAGAAAGGGCAATCGGCCTGGGTGAACATTTTATGAGGAGGATACCCCGGGCAATTGAAGCAACATCAAAAATACACTATTGGGACCTGATCAAACTAAAGAGCTTCTGCACAGCCAAGAACACAGTAAGTAAGGCAAGCAG